AAAGAACCAAGAATATGAATCCCTGCAGTCACGAAAGCTTTAAATGAAAATGCACAAATATATATAAAAATAATAGGCGTCCACACAAAATGTTAATTGCTCTAAAGTAACGAATTAATTGATTAATTGATGCATGCATTGTCACCGGATCTGAGTACGTGTGCCAAATTTGGAATTTATTGGACAACGGGAAGTGGACGAAATTTAGATTACAGGATTTGACCACGACACAGGAAATACGTTGAGCTCTATGCTGCAGAGCTTCGATGGGGGAAATTCTTCTGGGAAGGATGGTGGTGGGAGTCAGGTTTTAGATATGCATCCGTATGGGTGGCTTTCCTGCAGACGGAGTGTCCCATTGAGCCATCTGGTCTCCCTTCGATTCAAACGTAAAATGTTTATCTACGAAATTGTACTTTGCAAACCCACTGGCTATCAACGGAGCCTCGTTCATGAAGCCATCCATATATACAGACGACACAACTTCCATCGCGAAGATGGGTCTGTGCCTGTATATGTGGATGGCTGGAAGGACGTTATCAACCAGTTTTAAGTCATAACTGGCTGTGATGTTCCCATCCTACCACCTTTCTCTGATTTTACACTAACAGGCTAATGTGATCTCTTACATTTACTTACGAATTCCATCTCTAGCTCGGCTCATTTACCCTTGGGGTTGAGCCCACCTAAAGCCTCTATAACCTCGTGTTGCAGCAGGTCTTTCACGTTAACACGCTAAACTCTCACATTAACACGCTAATCTCTCTCACATTAGTACGCTATTCTTTATCACATTAACACGCTAATCTCTCTCACATTAACACACTAATCTCTCTCACATTAACACGCTAAACTCTTTCACATTAACACGCTAAACCCTCTCACATTAACACGCTAATCTCTCTCACATTAACACGCTAAACTCTCACATTAACACGCTAATCTCTCTCACATTTGTACGCTATTCTTTATCACATTAACACGCTAATCTCTCTCACATTAACACACTAATCTCTCTCACATTAACATGCTAATCTCTCTCACATTAACACGCTAAACTCTCTCACATTAACACGCTAATCTCTCTCACATTAACACGCTAATCTCTCTCACATTAACATGCTAATCTCTCTCACATTAACACGCTAATGTCTCTCGCATTAACACGCTAATCTCTCTCACATTAACACACTATTCTCTCTCACATTAACACGCTAATCTCTCTCACATTAACATGCTAATCTCTCTCACATTAACACGCTAATCTCTCACATTAACACGCTAAACTCTCTCACAATAACACGCTAATCTCTCTCACATTAACACGCTAATCTCTCTCACATTAACACACTATTCTCTCTCACATTAACACGCTAATCTCTCTCACATTAACACGCTAATCTCTCACATTAACACGCTATTCTTTATCACATTAACACGCTAATCTCTCTCACATTAACACGCTAATCTCTCTCACGTTAACACGCTAATCTCTCTCACGTTAACACGCTAAACTCTCACATTAACACGCTAATCTCTCACATTAACACGCTAATCTCGCTCACATTAACACGCTAATCTCTCTCACATTAACACGCTAATCTCTCTCACATTAACACGCTATTCTCTCACATTAACATGCTAATCTCTCACATTAACACGCTAATCTCTCTCATTAACACGCTAATATCTCTCACACTAACACTCTAATCTCTCTCACATTAACACGCTAAATTCTCTCACATTAACTCGCTAATCTATCTCACATTAACATGCTAATCTCTCTCACATTAACACGCTAAACTCTCTCACATTAACACGCTAAACTCTCTCACATTAACACGCTATTCTCTCACATTCACACGCTGATCTCTGTCACATTGACACGCTAATCTCTCTCACATTAACACGGTAATCTCTCTCACATTAACACGCTAAACTCTCACATTAACACGCTAATATCTCTCACATTAACATACTAATCTCTCTCACATTAACACGCTAATCTCTCTCACATTAACACGCTAAACTCTCTCACATTAACACACTAATCTCTCTCACATTAACACGCTATTCTCTCTCACATTAACACGCTAATCTCTCTCACATTAACAAGCTATTCTTTATCACATTAACACACTAATCTCTCACAATAACACGCTGTTCTCTGTCACATTAACACGCTAATCTCTATCACATTAACACGCTAATCTCTCTCACATTAACACGCTAATCTCTCACATTCACACGCTAATCTTTCTCACATTAACACGCTGATCTCTCACATTGACATGTTTATCTCTCTCACATTAACATGTTAATATCTCTCACATTAACACGCTAAACTCTCTCACATTAACACGCTAATCTCTCACATTAACACGTTAAACTCTCACATTAACACGCCCATCTCTCACATTGACTTGTTTATCTCTCTCACATTAACACGCTAATCTCTGTCACATTAACACGCTAATCTCTGTCACATTAACACGCTAATCTCTCTCACATTAACACGCTAATCTCTCTCACATTAACTCGCTAATCTATCTCACATTAACACGCTAATCTCTCTCACAATAACACGCTAAACTCTCTCACATTAACACGCTATTCTCTCTCACATTAACACGCTAATCTCTCTCACATTAACAAGCTATTCTTTATCACATTAACACGCTAATCTCTCTCACATTAACACGCTAATCTCTCTCACATTAACACACTATTCTCTCTCACATTAACACGCTAATCTCTCTCACATTAACACGCTAATCTCTCTCACATTAACACGCTATTCTCTCTCACATTAACACGCTATTCTCTCTCACATTAACACGCTAAACTCTCACATTAACACGCTAATCTCTCTCACATTAACACGCTAATCTCTCTCACATTAACACACTAATCTCTCTCACATTAACACGCTAAACTCTCTCACATTAACATGCTAATCTCTCTCACATTAACACGCTTATCTCTCTCACATTAACACGCTAATCTCTCACATTAACACGCTAAACTCTCGCATTAACACGCTAATCTCTCTCACATTAACATGCTAATCTCTCTCACATTAACACGCTACTCTCACATTAACACGCTAATCTCTCTCACATTAACATGCTAATCTCTCTCACATTACCACGCTAATCTCTCTCACATTAACACGCTAATCTCTCTCACATTAACACGCTAATCTCTCACATTAACACGCTAATCTCTCTCACATTAACACGCTATTCTCTATCATATTAACACGCTTATTTCTCTCACATTAACACGCTAATCTATCTCATATTAACACGCTAATCTCTCTCACATTAACACGCTAAACTATCACATTAACACGCTAACCTCTCTCACATTAACACGCTAATATCTCACATTAACACGCTAATCTCTCACATTAACACGCTAAACTCTCACATTAACACGCTAATCTCTCTCACATTAACACGCTAATCTCTCACACATTAACACACTAAACTCTCTCACATTAACACGCTAATCTCTCTCACATTAACACCCTAATCTCTATCACATTAACACGCTAATCTCTCTCGCATTAACACGCTAATCTCTCTCACATTAACACGCTAATCTCTCTCACATTAACATGCTAATCTCTCTCACATTAACACGATAATCTCTCTCACATTAACACGCTAATCTCTCACATTAACACACTAATCTCTCACATTAACACGCTAATCTCTCTCAAATTAACACGCTAAACTCTCGCATTAACACGCTAATCTCTCTCACATTAACACGCTAATCTCTCACATTAACACGTTAATCTCACATTAACACGCTAATCTCTCTCACATTAACACGGTAATCTCTCTCACATTAACACGCTAATCTCTCTCACATTAACACGCTAAACTCTCACATTAACACACTAATCTCTCTCACATTAACATGCTAAACTCTCACATTAACACGCTAATCTCTCTCACATTAACACGCTATTCTCTCTCACATTAACACGCTATTCTCTCTCACATTAACAAACTAAACTCTCACATTAACACGCTAATCTCTCTCACATTAACACGCTAATCTCTCTCATATTAACACACTAATCTCTCTCACATTAACATGCTAAACTCTCTCACATTAACACGCTAATCTCTCACATTAACACGCTTATCTCTCTCACATTAACATGCTAATCTCTCTCACATTAACACGCTAAACTCTCGCATTAACACGCCAATCTCTCTCACATTAACACACTAATCTCTCACATTAACACGCTAAACTCTCTCACGTTAACACGCTAATCTCTCTCACATTAACGCACTAATCTCTCACATTAACACGCTAAACTCTCTCACGTTAACACGCTAATCTCTCTCACATTAACACGCTAATCTCTCACATTAACACTCTAAACTCTCTCACATTAACATGCACATTTTTATTTGGCAGCCATTTGATTCGTCAAAAAACCACCACCGTGTTGCGAAAGACCCAAAGAATATGTAGTGTGTAGCGTAGTGTATAGTAGTGTAGTGTGTAGTGTATAGTAGTGTATAGTGTCGTGTATAGTGTAGTGTATAGTGTAGTGTGCAGTGTAGTGTATAGTAGTGTATAGTGTAGTAGTGTAGTGTATAGTAGTGTATAGTGCAGTGTATAGTGTAGTATGTAGCGTAGTGTGTAGCGTAGTGTATAGTGTAGTGTATAGTAGTGTATTGTGTAGTGTATAGTGTAGTGTATAGTGTAGTGTAGTGTGTAGTGGAGTGTATAGTAGTGTATTGTGTAGTGTATAGTGTAGTATGTAGTGTATAGTGCAGTGTATAGTGTAGTATGTAGCGTAGTGTGTAGTGTGCAGTGTAGTGTATAGTAGTGTATTGTGTAGTGTATAGTGTAGTGTAGTGTGTAGTGGAGTGTATAGTAGTGTATTGTGTAGTGTATAGTGTAGTATGTAGTGTATAGTGTATTCTGTAGTGGAGTGTAATGTCTGCGTCTCTGTCTCCCTCGCTCAGATTGACAAGTTCCATCAATTCTCGTCTGAGCAAGAAATGCTCCATCAGAGACACCACTCCTCCTCCCTCTCCTCCCCCGCCTCCTCCTCCTCCACCCTCTTCTCCGCCTCCTCCCGCCTCGAATCATCATCCTCCTCCGCTCGCGAAGACAGCATCCCACACACGCACACACGCTCACGCGCACACACGCACACACGCACAAACACGCACACACGCGCACACACGCACACACGCACACACACGCGCGCGCCCATCTCAACAGCACCAGCAGCGGCATCTGCAGATACGGCTGAAAAAGGTGAACGCGGTACCTTTAAACACTCGCTCAACCGCTCGCTGACCCATTCACCCACCCACTCAGCCGCTCACCCACTCACCCAATCACCCACTCACTCATTCACCCACTCAGTCACCCACTCAGTCACCTACACATGCACTTATTCCCCAACCCACAAACTCACCTACCCAACCACCCACTTACCTACTTACTTATCTACCTACCCAACCACTCACTCACTCACCCACCCACCCACCCACTCCCCCACCCACCCACTTACCTACTTACTTATCCACCCACTTACCTACTTAGTTATCCACCCAACCACCCACTTAACTCATTCACGTGCCCACCCACCCTTTCACACACCCACCCATTCACCCACTCTCACCCACCCACTCACCCACCCACCCACCCACTCACCCACCCACCCACTCACTCACCCACTCACCCACTCATTCACCCACCCACTCACCCACCCACTCATTCACCCACTCACCCACTCACTCACTCACCCACTCACTCACTCACCCACTCACTCACCCACCCACTCACCCACTCACCCACCCACTCACCCACTCACCCACCCACTCACCCACTCACCCACCCACTCACCCACTCACCCACCCACTCACCCACCCACCCACTCACCCACTCACCCACCCACTCACCCACTCACCCACCCACTCATTCACCCACTCACCCATTCACCCACTCACCCACTCACCCACTCACCCACTCACTCACCCACCCACCCACTCACCCACTCACCCACCCACTCACCCACTCACCCACCCACTCACTCACCCACTCACTCACTCACCCACTCACTCACCCACTCACCCACTCACCCACCCACCCACCCACTCACTCACCCACTCACTCACCCACCCACCCACCCACCGTGGTGCTTGCTGTATTGCCAGGATATGGATCTGGACTCTGAACTCCCAGTCAACTCCTTCGCCTGCTCCACACGCCACGTGGACAAGACACGGTGAGACACAGTGACGAGACACGGGGGGTGAGACATGGGGGGTGAGACACGGGGGGTGAGACACGGGGGGTGAGACACAGTGACGTGGCACGGGGGTGAGACACGGGAGGTGAGACACGGGGGGTGAGAGACAGTGACGGGAGCTGGACCGGTACCGCCTGGATCTCTGTGGCATTCAGGAGGTCCGGTGGACCGGTTCTGGCTCCTGCCACCATGAGGGGTGGACAGTCCTCTACTCTGGGCAGCAGACTGTCAAACAACAGGGTGTGGCTCTTCTTTTGAACATAATAATGAAGGGGGCGTGGGAGCGTGGCGGTGAGGTGTGGGAAGCTGTAAGCGCCAGGCTACTTTGGGCTCGCCTTCCCATCAACCGGAGGCGAGGATTGGTGGTTGTGGTTACTTATGCCCCCACCGAAGACGAACATCCGTGGAGGGATGCAGGCAAAGCCGATGAGTGAGATGCCTTCCATGACCTCCTGTCACAGGTGCTGGCTAAAGTGGCCCCTCGGGATAGAGTCATCATGTTGGGTGACTTCAATGCCTGAGTTGGTCATGATGCTGGCACCTGGTCTGGAGTGATTGGAGGGCATGGGCCGGATCAGCTCAGTAACAACGGTAGGAGGCTGCTAGATTTTTGTGCAGCCCATGGGCTTGTAATTACCAACACGCTGTTCCGGCATCGGCGCATCCACGCAACATCGCGGATGCAAAGCCGGGTCCAAGCGAGAACATCTGCTGGACGACACAGTGACGGAACTCAGTTTTGCACGTGTCAAGAAAAATCTGATCTCATTTCCTTCGCCCGCCTCTTACTCACCAACTCCCAGCCCCCCCGCTCCCCCGCCCAGAGTCATCTTCCTCCGACGGCCATAACGCCTGACCCGGCATCCCACGTGTCGCTTCCTTTGTGCACCTTGCCACAATCTCTCCCGACGACCCTACGCCGTGCTCCTCCGTCGGCTCAACCGTACAGCCACCAGACCTCTGCGCCTGTCGCCTTTTCGCCTGCCCTCATCCGTTGCCCATTTCACGACTTCACGCGCGTGCCCCGCACCACCCGTACCACCCCCACCCACCCCCCACAGCCTCTCGTCCACGCTGCACCCGTCAAGACGAACCTCGCTCGCCATCGCACTCCACCTTATTCTGCCTCAGCTACCCCAGCAACGTCAGCAGCTCCCATTTCCCGGCCGCCACCCCCACCCCTCCATGCACCCCCACGTCACCTTGTCCAGTGAACGTCCTCAGCTCGCAACTCAAAGCGCCCTGGAAAGGATGCTACGTGAATCCCGAAATAGAATTTAAATAATGCCATTCGTCCAGGCACGGGGGTTTAGCGTCCAGATTTGAAGCCTTTCGTCACTGCAGGGATCCATTCCCTTGCGGTTTTTTCGGCAAAGTCACCGCGTCGCGGGTGAAAAATCACCGGCATCAAATAAATGAATGAACGGCTGGATTGATTTGCGGCGTCCGAGGTGGAGACCGTCGCGGCAAAATTGCTGCGTCGAGCTGAGAGAGCTCTCAGAGACCCGAGATTATATAGGCAGGTTAAGGGGGGCAGGGGGAGGAGCCAGGAAGGGCCGTTGTTTGGGGGGGGGGGGGGGGAGGGCGGGCGGCTAAGTTAAGCCGCCTTTTGTTACGCTTGCAGGGGGTTAGGTGGGACGGAGAGATCGCCGAGACTTTACCGAGAGGACCGAAGAGGGGAGTAGTACGGGTTTGGGGGTCGTTTGAGGGATATGTGTTTGACTCTTCCTGCGTACCGGGCCGGCCGGTCCCAGTGGTGATTTTGCCACGTGAAATGTCCGAGGTTTAATCTCCCCCCGCCCCCGCTGGCTTTTGGAATTCCCTCGCCTCTTCATAATGCACGATCACGGTCGTACGCTCGGCTCGATCTTTGCCCCGGGTTGTTACAGTTGGGCAGCTTTTAGCCCTCTCTCTCTTTCTCTCTCCCCCCTTCCATGGACCTACCAGTCCCCCCCGTTTGTGTGGCCGATGACCTTCCCCCGGTCCATGGATGGGTGGCGGATATCCGCCCTTGTCTCGCTTGATCTCCCAGCGGCTTTCAACACGGCTGACCCCCCCTCCCTCCGCTGCAGCGACCCGGGGAAACGCGCCCCTTTACTTTGTCAGGCGGAGCCCTTGGGTAAAGTGTCGAAGGGTCGCCTCCGTGTGTCACCTGGAGGGGCCCATCGCCACCAGCGCGCCGATGACACGCAGCGCCGCTGTCCCCGCCGCTCGCTGGCGAAGCCTGGGGGCCCGCCTTCCTTCGGTGAAGTCGCCACGCGGAATGGAAATGAAATGTTGATAAAACGTAAAACGCAATGAAATGAAATTCTCACGCCGTTTTCGGGCCACAGCACAAGTGGCCTTGTTTAGGTGAAGGAACGGAACTTTGGTGGATCTTTGTCCATCTTTGGAGGATCTTTGTCCATCTTTGATGGATCTTTGTCCATCTTTGGTGGATCTTTGTCCATCGTTGGTGGATCTTTGATGGATCTTTGTCCATCTTTGATGGATCTTTGTCCATCTTTGGAGGATCTTTTCCATCTTTGGAGGATCTGTCCATCTTTGGAGGATCTTTGTCCATCTTTGGTGGATCTTTGTCCATCTTTGGTGGATCTTTGTCCATCTTTGATGGATCTTTGTCCATCTTTGATGGATCTTTGTCCATCTTTGGTGGATCTTTGTCCATCTTTGATGGATCTTTGTCCATCTTTGGAGGATCTTTGTCGATCTTTGATGGATCTTTGTCCATCTTTGGTGGATCTTTGATGGATCTTTGTCCATCTTTGATGGATCTTTGTCCATCTTTGGAGGATCTTTTCCATCTTTGGAGGATCTGTCCATCTTTGGAGGATCTTTGTCCATCTTTGGAGGATCTTTGTCCATCTTTGGTGGATCTTTGTCCATCTTTGATGGATCTTTGTCCATCTTTGATGGATCTTTGTCCATCTTTGGTGGATCTTTGTCCATCTTTGGTGGATCTTTGTTTATCTTTGGAGGATCTTTGTCCATCTTTGATGGATCTTTGTCCATCTTTGGTGGATCTTTGATGGATCTTTGTCCATCTTTGATGGATCTTTGTCCATCTTTGGAGGATCTTTTCCATCTTTGGAGGATCTGTCCATCTTTGGAGGATCTTTGTCCATCTTTGGAGGATCTTTGTCCATCTTTGGTGGATCTTTGTCCATCTTTGGTGGATCTTTGTCCATCTTTGATGGATCTTTGTCCATCTTTGATGGATCTTTGTCCATCTTTGGTGGATCTTTGTCCATCTTTGGTGGATCTTTGTCTATCTTTGGAGGATCTTTGTCCATCTTTGGAGGATTTTTGTCCATCTTTGGTGGATCTTTGTCCATCTTTGGAGGATCTTTGTCCATCTTTGGAGGATCTTTGTCCATCTTTGGAGGATCTTTGTCCATCTTTGGTGGATCTTTGTCTATCTTTGGAGGATCTTTGTCCATCTTTGGAGGATCTTTGTCCATCTTTGGTGGATCTTTGTCCATCTTTGGAGGATCTTTGTCCATCTTTGGAGGATCTTTGTCCATCTTTGGAGGATCTTTGTCCATCTTTGGTGGATCTTTGTCCATCTTTGGAGGATCTTTGTCCATCTTTGGAGGATCTTTGTCCATCTTTGGAGGATCTTCGTCCATCTTTGATGGATCTTTGTCCATCTTTGGAGGATCTTTGTCCATCTTTGGTGGATCTTTGTCCATCTTTGGAGGATCTTTGTCCATCTTTGGAGAATCTTTGTCCATCTTTGGAGGATCTTTGTCCATCTTTGATGGATCTTTGTCCATCTTTGGAGGATCTTTGTCCATCTTTGGTGGATCTTTGTCCATCTTTGGAGGATCTTTGTCCATCTTTGGTGGATCTTTGTCCATCTTTGGAGAATCTTTGTCCATCTTTGGAGGATCTTTGTCCATCTTTGATGGATCTTTGTCCATCTTTGGAGGATCTTTGTCCATCTTTGGTGGATCTTTGTCCATCTTTGGAGGATCTTTGTCCATCTTTGATGGATCTTTGTCCATCTTTGGAGGAATTTTGTCCATCTTTGATAGATCTTTGATGGATCTTTGTCCATCTTTGGTGGATCTTACTCCATCTTTGGAGGATCTTTGTCCATCTTTGGAGAATCTTTGTCCATCTTTGGAGGATCTTTGTCCATCTTTGGTGGATCTTTGTCCATCTTTGGAGGATCTTTGATGGATCTTTGTCCATCTTTGGAGGAATTTTGTCCATCTTTGATAGATCTTTGATGGATCTTTGTCCATCTTTGGTGGATCTTTGTCCATCTTTGGAGGATCTTTGTCCATCTTTGGAGAATCTTTGTCCATCTTTGGTGGATCTTTGTCCATCTTTGGAGGATCTTTGTCCATCTTTGATGGATCTTTGTCCATCTTTGGAGGAATTTTGTTTATCTCTGATAGATCTTTGATGGATCTTTGTCCATCTTTGGTGGATCTTTCTCCATCTTTGGAGGATCTTTGTCCATCTTTGGAGAATCTTTGTCCATCTTTGGAGGATCTTTGTCCATCTTTGGTGGATCTTTGTCCATCTTTGGAGGATCTTTGTCCATCTTTGATGGATCTTTGTCCATCTTTGGAGGAATTTTGTCCATCTTTGATAGATCTTTGATGGATCTTTGTCCATCTTTGGAGGATCTTTGTCCATCTTTGGAGAATCTTTGTCCATCTTTGGTGGATCTTTGTCCATCTTTGGAGGATCTTTGTCCATCTTTGATGGATCTTTGTCCATCTTTGGAGGAATTTTGTCCATCTTTGATAGATCTTTGATGGATCTTTGTCCATCTTTGGTGGATCTTTCTCCATCTTTGGAGGATCTTTGTCCATCTTTGGAGAATCTTTGTCCATCTTTGGAGGATCTTTGTCCATCTTTGGTGGATCTTTGTCCATCTTTGGAGGATCTTTGTCCATCTTTGATGGATCTTTGTCCATCTTTGGAGGAATTTTGTCCATCTTTGATAGATCTTTGATGGATCTTTGTCCATCTTTGGTGGATCTTTGTCCATCTTTGGTGGATCTTTGTCCATCTTTGGAGAATCTTTGTCCATCTTTGGAGGATCTTTGTCCATCTTTGGAGGATCTTTGGAGGATCTTTGTCCATCTTTGGTGGATCTTTGTCCATCTTTGATGGATCTTTGTCCATCTTTGATGGATCTTTGTCCATCTTAGGAGGAATTTTGTCCATCTTTGATAGATCTTTGACGGATCTTTGTCCATCTTTGATGGATCTTTGTCGGATCTTTGTCCGTCTTTGGTGGATCTTTGACCCTTTGCTAAATCTTTCCCCTCGGGTGCGAGCAGCATCAGCAGCAGCAGGAGCAGCAGCAGGAGCAGCAGGCGGAGCCGGCGGAGGGAGCGGTCCCCGGCCCTCTCACCAGCGCCACCACCGCTCACCCTCACCCCACCGCTCACCCTCACCCCACCGCTCGCGGCCGTGCGGCCGCCGCCTCCGTCCCCTGTGCCCGCGTCCCCGCCCGTCCCCGCCAGGGACCGGCCGTGTCTCTGCGTGTCTCTGGATGTCCCCGCGCCTCCGGCCCTCGCCCTCGGCGGCTCGCTCGGCCGCCTGGCCTGCGGCGAGCGGTTCGTGGTGCGGGGCCGGCGGACGTCGCCGGACGGCTCCACGCACTACCTGGTGGAGTGGCTGGGACGCACCGCCTAGGCGGGGAGACAGACAGAGACACGGGGGGAGACAGACAGAGACACGGGGACACAGACAGAGACACGGGGGGAGACAGACAGAGACACGGGGGGAGACAGACAGAGACACGGGGGGAGACAGAGACAGAGACACGGGGACACAGACAGAGACACGTGGGGGAGACAGAGACACGTGGGAGACAGAGACAGAGACACGGGGACACAGACAGAGACACGTGGGGGACACAGACAGAGACACGGGGGAGACAGAGACACGGGGACACAGACAGAGACACGTGGGAGACACAGAGACACGTGGGAGACACACACAGAGACACGGGGACACAGACAGAGACACGTGGGAGACACAGAGACACGTGGGAGACACACACAGAGACACGGGGACACAGACAGAGACACGTGGGAGACACAGAGACACGTGGGAGACACACAGACGGCTCCACGCACTACCTGGTGGAGTGGCTGGGACGCACCGCCTAGGCGGGGACACAGACAGAGACACGGGGGGGAGACAGAGACACGGGGGGACACAGAGACAGAGACACGGGGGGGACAGAGACACGGGGGAGACACAGAGACATGGGGGGGACACAGAGACACGGGGGGACAGAGACACGGGGGGACACAGAGACAGAGACACGGGGGAGACAGAGACACGTGGGGGGGACGCAGACAGAGACACGGGGGGGAGACAGAGACAGAGACACGGGGGGAGACAGAGACACGGGGGGGAGACAGAGACACGGGGGTGACACAGAAACACCGGGGGGGAGACACGCTGAGACACGGGGGGACACAGAGACACGGGGGGGAGACACAGAGACACGGGGGGAGACACACACAGACACGGGGGAGACAGAGAGACGGGGGGAGACACACACAGACACGGGGGAGACAGAGACACGGGGGGAGACACAGACAGAGACACGGGGGGAGACAGACCCGGGGGGGAGACACAGACAGAGACACGGCGTGACACAGACAGAGACACGGGGGTGACACAGAGACACCGGGGGGGAGACAGAGACACGGGGGAGACAGAGACATGGGGGGGACACAGAGACACGGTGGGGAGACACAGAGACAGAGACACGGGGGGGAGACACAGAGACAGAGACACAGGGGAGACAGAGACACGGTGGGGAGACACAGAGACAGAGACACGGGGGGGAGACAGAGACACGGGGGGAGACACGGGGGGGCGGGGGGAGAGAGAGAACGTGGAAGCCAAGCAGCGTCGCCATTCTGACACTCGCTCGCACACACAGACAAAGCTCCCCCAGGTAGCCTCTGGCAGGGCTATAGGGGCAAGTGCTGTTAGTAGCGAGTAGCAGCAGCAGTGTCTATGTACTACACACACCACACACAGACAAAGCTCCCCCAGGTAGCCTCTGGCAGGGCTGTAGGGGCAAGTGCTGTTAGTAGCGAGTAGCAGCAGCAGTGTCTATGTACTACACACACCACACACAGACAAAGCTCCCCCAGGTAGCCTCTGGCAGGGCTGTAGGGGCAAGTGCTGTTGGTAGCGAGTAGCAGCAGCAGTGTCTATGTACTACACACACCACACACACAGACAAAGCTCCCCCAGGTAGCCTCTGGCAGGGCTGTAGGGGCAAGTGCTGCTAGTAGCGAGTAGCAGCAGCAGTGTCTATGTACTACACACACCACACACAGACAAAGCTCCCCCAGGTAGCCTCTAGCAGGGCTGTAGGGGCAAGTGCTGCTAGTAGCGAGTAGCAGCAGCAGTGTCTATGTACTACACACACCACACACAGACAAAGCTACCCCAGGTAGCCTCTAGCAGGGCTGTAGGGGCAAGTGCTGCTAGTAGCGAGTAGCAGCAGCAGTGTCTATGTACTACACACACCACGCACAGACAAAGCTCCCCCAGGTAGCCTCTAGCATGGCTGTAGGGGCAAGTGCTGTTAGCTAGCGAGTAGCAGCAGTGTCTATGTACTACACACACCACACACAGACAAAGCTCCCCCAGGTAGCCTCTAGCAGGGCTGTAGGGGCAAGTGCTGTTAGTAGCGAGTAGCAGCAGCAGTGTCTATGTACTACACACACCACAAACAGACAAAGCTCCCCCAGGTAGCCTCTGGCAGGGCTGTAGGGGCAAGTGTTGTTAGTAGCGAGTAGCAGCAGCAGTGTCTATGTACTACACACACCACACACAGACAAAGCTCCCCCAGGTAGCCTCTAGCAGGGATGTAGGGGCAGGTGCTGCTAGTAGCGAGTAGCAGCAGCCGTGTCTATGTACTACACACACCACACACACAGACAAAGCTCCCCCAGGTAGCCTCTAGCAGGGCTGTAGGGGCAAGTGCTGTTAGTAGCGAGTAGCAGCAGCAGTGTCTATGTACTACACACACCACACACAGACAAAGCTCCCCCAGGTGGCCTCTGGCAGGGCTGTAGGGGCAAGTGCTGCTAGTAGCGAGTAGCAGCAGCAGTGTCTATGTACTACGCACACCACACACAGACAAAGCTCCCCCAGGTAGCCTCTAGCAGGGCTGTAGGGGCAAGTGCTGTTAGTAGCGAGTAGCAGCAGCAGTGTCTATGTACTACACACACCACACACAGACAAAGCTCCCCCAGGTAGCCTCTGGCAGGGCTGTAGGGGCAAGTGCTGTTAGCTAGCGAGTAGCAGCGCTCCCTTTGAAGGCCACCGGCACTGTGGCTACACCAGGGGGGTGGGTGGTCAGCGCCACCACGCCCGGCCGCCTTTGTCTCTCCCCTCGTGACGCTGCTGGCTGCTCTACACCACTGCTCCATAGCTGCTCAGGCGAAGGTTGAGTCGGCCTAGGTGGAGGCCTGGGTTGTACTGCTGTGCCAGGCTAGGTGCACGAGGAGGTCACGGGGCAGACCCAGCAGGTAGCGTTGGTTGACTGCTGTGCCAGGCTAGGTGCATGAGGAGGAGGAGGTCACGGGACAGACCCAGCAGGTGACGTTGGTTGACTGCTGTGCCAGGCTAGGTACAGGAGGAGGTCACGGGACAGACCCAGCAGGTGACATGGGTTGACTGCTGTGCCAGGCTAGGTGCATGAGGAGGAGGAGGTCACGGGACAGACCCAGCAGGTGGCCATGGGTTGACTGCTGTGCCAGGCTAGGTGCATGAGGAGGTGGAGGTCACGTGACAGACCCAGCAGGTGGCGTTGGTTGACTGCTGTGCCAGGCTAGGTGCATGAGGAGGAGGAGGTCACATGACAGACCCAGCAGGTGCCATGGGTTGACTGCTGTGCCAGGCTAGGTGCATGAGGAGGAGGAGGTCACGGGACAGACCCAGCAGGCGGCCATGGGTTGACTGCTGTGCCAGGCTAGGTGCATGAGGAGGAGGTCACGGGACAGACCCAGCAGGTGGCCATGGGTTGACTGCTGTGCCAGGCTAGGTGCACGAGGAGTTTTACGGGACAAAGCCAGGTGCCATAGGTCGACTGACTGAGATGACTTGCTGATGCACCACCTGTGCCCCCTACTGTGCCAACCTGCTGTGCTTTAGCCACCCGGCGCTCCGCTCGTTGTTGTGAGCGTCGCTCCTCCGCCCTCCGTTGTTGCTGGAGGGCGACTGCCTCCAACTGCCCAGTAGCATCCTTCACGAGCCTCCTCCACAGAGGCCGATCTTGACACCGCTGGTACCGGTCTTCGGCAAGTCCACCCAGCTCCACGTCCTTCCCGTACCGCATCAGCTCCATCTCTTCTCTAGCCCGTGTCACCCACTCACCCACTCACCCACACCCTCTCTCACTCATCCACACACTCACCCTTGGCACTCACCCACACACTCGCACACTCACCCACACACTCGCCCGTCAGCTCCGTGCGGTGGCTGGGCATGCGGTGGCTGGGCATGCGGTGGCTGTGCATGGGGGCTTGCTATGCGACCCGGCCAATGCAGCCTCCTTGCCTGCCAGAGGAGCTCACCGATGGGACTGTGTCCAGACCTTTCAAGGATTGCTGCGCTGCGAGGATGAGGTCTCCCTTTAATCCCGTCGAAACTGGTGGTCTGTGAGGTCTTGGGGGATGGGAGAGCAAATCCCCTCAGTTTAGATATAACATCATGGGGGCAATGTGGGGGATGATGACCTTGCTGAGGCTGCGGTGCCTCTAGGATTGGGATGAAGTAGCCACCCCTTGTGAGTGAGCGAGTGAGTGGCAATGTGGGGGATGATGACCCTGCTGAGGCTGCGGTGCCTCTAGGATTAGGATGAAGTAGACACCCCTTGTGAGTGAGAGAGAGGCAATGTGGGGGATGATGACCTTGCTGAGGCTGTGTTTGCCTCTAGAATTGGGGTGAAGTAGCCACCCCTTGTGAGTGAGAGAGAGGCAATGTGGGGGATGATGACCTTGCTGAGGCTGCGTTTGCCTCTAGGATTGGGATGAAGTAGACACCGCTTGTGAGTGAGCGAGAGGCAATGTGGGAGATGATGACCTTGCTGAGGCTGCGGTGCCTCTAGGATTAGGATGAAGTAGACACCCCTTGTGAGTGAGAGAGAGGCAATGTGGGGGATGATGACCTTGCTGAGGCTGTGTTTGCCTCTAGAATTGGGGTGAAGTAGCCACCCCTTGTGAGTGAGAGAGAGGCAATGTGGGGGATGATGACCTTGCTGGGTCTGCGGTGCCGCTAGAATTGGAATGAAGTAGACACCCCTTGTGAGTGAGCGAGAGGCAATGTGGGGGATGATGACCTTGCTGGGTCTGCGGTGCCGCTAGAATTGGGATGAAGTAGACACCCCTTGTGAGTGAGTGGCAATGTGGGGGATGATGACCTTGCTGAGGCTGCGTTTGCCTCTAGAATTGGGGTGAAGTAGCCACCCCTTGTGAGTGAGAGAGAGGCAATGTGGGGGATGATGACCTTGCTGGGTCTGCGGTGCCGCTAGAATTGGAATGAAGTAGACACCCCTTGTGAGTGAGCGAGAGGCAATGTGGGGGATGATGACCTTGCTGGGTCTGCGGTGCCGCTAGAATTGGGATGAAGTAGACACCCCTTGTGAGTGAGTGGCAATGTGGGGGATGATGACCTTGCTGAGGCTGCGTTTGCCTCTAGGATTGGGATGAAGTAGACACCGCTTGTGAGTGAGCG